ATTGAGATATATCTAGATACAAGGATGTCCATCATAACTACCGTGTAGCTGTTCTAGCGGGAAGCTCTGGGCTTATCCTTACACTATTCCCCCCCTCGGAGTCATTCACTTGTGAATGATGTTGGTGGAAGTGGAAGAGGTAGTGCATAAGGGTGGAAGAAAACACAAGATAGATAAGTGTAGAGAGATAAAAACGAAAATCAGTACCACAAAAGTATGTATAGCCGTAAGGGATAAAATGTGTAACCGGAGTAAAAATAATGACCGGAATCAAAGTGGCCGTAGCCGGAGTAAAATGTGTGACAGGGGGTTACTGTGGCCGTAGCCGAAGAAAAACGTGTGACACTAGGTCACTGTGACCGTAGCCGAAGTAAAATGAGTGACACTGGGTCACTGTGGCCGAAGCCGAAGTAAAATGAGTGACACTGGGTCACTGTGGCCGGAGCCGAAGTAAAATGAGTGACACTGGGTCACTGTGGCCGGAGCCGAAGTAAAATGAGTGACTAGGTCACTGTGGCCGGAGTCGAAGTAAAACATGTGACACGGAGTCACTGGGGCCGTAGCCGAAGTAAAATATGTGACACGGAGTCACTGGGGCCGTAGCCGAAGTAAAATATGTGACACGAAGTCACTGGGGCCGTAGCCGAAGTAAAACACTTGCCCAAATTTAAACCAAATTTAAAATGTTCAAAAGTGGGGAGGAATGTTGGAATGGGCTTAAGTGGGCCCAGCTAAGAAGTCTGACTAAGACGTGGCACGTGACGTGACAGCTGTCCGCTGAATGACGTGCGTAATAAATGCCGCTGTAAAAAAGGATAAACTCAACAGTCCAACGGGCAGATTTAAAAAATGAACCGTCAAATTCGAAACGGTACCGTTTGGGTTTAACCGTTGAATTCGAAACGGCACCTTTGCAGCCGTTAGATGGGTTGATCGCAGCCGTTGAGGCGTATTATGCCTTTGGTATAAAAGCCTATACTTCTGTGAAAGGGACTTTTTTAC